AGGTAAACATTGAGAGGTATCCCTTCCAACCCTGTTTCTTTTCACCATAATCACCCTCTAAGTAACTTTTTTATTTCATTCCTGTATATCCTTCACTGCATCTTCTTCATGTAAATATAATCCACATTCTCATTTCTCTCTGCCTCTTTCTTATAAAAAAGAATCATGTTGTAACACTGTTGCAGTGTTCATTTCCTTTCCCCTAAAGATGCATCCAGGAGATCTCTCTCTAGAAGTATACAGAGGTTCCTCGTGCTCTTTTTAAAACTGTTGTTGTGTATATACTGCTTCCCCATTGATGGACACCTGGTTTTTGCAATCTTTTACTACCATAAAAATGCTGCAAAGAATAATCTCGTCCATATATTATATGTGTATATTTAGGAAAGATGCCCAGAAGTAGGATTTCTGGTTTTAAAAAATAAATGTATCCTTCCTTCATTGGCTCCTTACTTTGTTACCAGTTCCCTGTCATTAGCCTAGTTTTAGACTTAGGTGACTGAGATAGCTTTCACTCTAGCTCTAATTACTAGACTAAATATTAAAGTACACTTTGATATTTTCACCATCCTGATGGAAAATCTCTAATAATCCTCCCTCCATACCAAATAAATTACAAATTCCTTTACCCATATTTACAATTTCACTGTGTTCTACCCCATGTACCCTCCCTTCCGGGTTCATCTTCCCAGCCCAATTCTTATCCAGCATGCTGCTTCCTGCTGTCTGAAGAGACACTGCATGTTCCTTCTACATGCCTTTGCTCACGTCCTTCTCCTTGACTAGAAATATCCCACCTTTCTTCTGCCACCCAAACACAATTTACTTTTTACAGTCCTGCTTGAATGCTGCCTTCCTTTCTGAATCTACTAATTAATTACCATCTTAGCCAGGAATAACTTCACCCAATTTTTCAAAACCCTTTATTTAAACCAATTACATGACATTTATCTTAAAATGTCTTCTATCACAGGTCTATAGTAGTTCATTTCCACAATTGGTCGTAAATTCTTTGAGGGTTTGTACACATTATATTTCCCCAAGTACTCTTTATAATACTTCACATACATGCTTCTCACTACACCTTCATGGAAAACTATTTATCAAGAGAAATCAGCCTTTGGGCTTGACTCCCTATTCCAATGTTGGAAAAGGCTGAGAGGGAAATGAGGAGCCCAGATCTGATGGCTGTAAAACATGAGCATGTGCAGTGAGGCATGAACGCAGATGCACACGTCCAACCCACACAGGAAGCTGGCTCTTACATTCTGTCCATTTTAAAGCAGTTACAGGATTAATGACAACAAAACTAAGTGGAACTCAGCAAGAATTTTATCCCTCTAAAAGGTTTGTACTTTTTCAAATCCTTATTTGTTTTAGTCCATGCACTAGACCCTGGGGGGAAAAAAAGGAGAGAAGAAACTGGGTAAGGACTACAATGCGATAGAAGCCACTGAGCTACCCTCAAGGAAAGGTCACAATCATCATCTATTCTAGAAGCACTCTAGGCTGGGTATTAGAAATGCTGGGATCAAGTCTAGGCATGGGTATACTATGTGAGTACTTCATTTAACCAGAAAGCTGTTTGTCCATCTAGAAAAATGAAAAACCTTCCTCTCTCCAACCTTTTATCCCAAGTTCTCCATTCATGTAGCAGAGAGAAAAGGATGTCCTCACCATCTTCGGTGATATGACCTGCTTACCTATTTTGACTTAATTTAACTAAAAAAACCTCAAAGTCAATTTGTGGTTGATCATAGAAAGGGTAGATTTCAGAAGATACAAGATAAGCTCCTTCCATAGGCCTACCATAGTAATYTACCCACACCAAAAGCAGTAGCATCTGGCCTTATTCCAGTTCAGATAAGTCTTCCTCCCAAACACTTTCCTCTCTAGTTTAAGTTGTCACGACCTCAAGTCTAAATCAGAGCAAAAGCCTTTTTGAATTTGGGTTCTCCAGGGCCCAAGGAGTGTTCCATGCCAAACCAAGTTTCAATGACCTATCAATTGTTAACCCCATGGTTCTCTCCGGCCTTTACCCTATCTGACCTCTCTCTATTACCTACAGCTGCTGAAACCAACTGCACTTCCTTTTGAAATCCTCTCTTCCCTCAGCTTCCATGATTCTTATATTTCCTTTGTTCCTCTTTTGTTATCCATTCCTTCTTGTCCTCGGGTCTTATGCCCTTTGCCCTCTTCCCCTCTCATTCTGTACACATTTTCTGATCAAAATCATTCACTCCTATGGTCTTAACTTGCTACCTAATTCTTCCCAAACTAACATCTTCTCTGAGCTCCACATCCACTTTTCAGCAGTCTACTGAATAACAAGCCTGTCTGAAACCATACCCAGCAGCTTCTTTTCCCTTCCTCTATCAACCTGCTCTTCATTTTTAATTTTTTATATTTATTTATTTAGGTGCTGGGAATTAAACCCAGGGCCTTGTGCATGTTAAGCATGTATTCTACCACGGAGCTATATACCCTCAGTTCCCAGTCTTAGTCTTTAATTCTCCATTTCAACTAATAGATCAGGACATACTATTTCAATTCTTCCATGTCCTTCCCACTCCGTAATGAATTGATCATTAAATGTCACCAATTCTACATTTTAAGTTATCTCGTTTGCATTCTAACTGCCGTGGTCCATGCCCTCATTTTCATCCATACAGGGTAATAGACTGACTGATCTTCACCTCCACTTTCTCCACTAGTCTAACCTAAAGTTTCTCACTTAACAACACAAGCTAGATTATATTACATCATCAATGCTCTCATAAAACCTCCTCAAACACCTTAATATCTGGGCCCAAATTACCTTTTCAGTTTCACTTCCAGTCAAAACCTGTCTGTCCTAAGATATCTTCTGTTCTAAACTGAATCCTTAAGTCTACACAGAACCTACTGTCTGTGTAAGGACTTTCCCTCTCTCAGTTCCCACTCCTCAGATCCACACATACAGGGCCAACTTTGTATATTATACCATTCTCCTCAAAAATTTACTTGGAGCTACACTCATCCTTCAAAGACAGAACAAATACTACCTTCTCTCTGAAACCTTCCCTGACCTTCCTCAGTGGCAGCACCACTGATTAATATCCCCTGGAACTTTGTTTCCACCACCATTGTGAGGTCCTGTTATAAGACCCTGTCAGCTCTCAAGGCATAGGGACTACTCGTATTCATTTATGTATCCCCAGCACCGAGCACAGTCCTACCAGGCTTGTAAAAGGAGTTCTAAAAGTGTTAAAGTGGTACTCTTGCCATTAAGGCACTGCTTTTTAAAAAAAAAAAAATATATATATATATATATATATATATATATATATATATATATTTAGTGGTAGATGGATACAATACCTTTATTTTATTTATTTATCTTCTTATGTGGTGCTGAGGGTTAAATGCAGGGCCTCCCTCGTGCTAGGCAAGTGCTCTATCACTGAGCCATAATCCCAACCCAAGGCAGCACATTTTTGAGGAAATCAGTTTGAATGGAATACAGAGATCCAAATAAGGAGGAATGAAGCCCCAATAGGGGAATATTTCTTTTTGTTGAGGACCTTTCTTGTATCCCTCAAATCTCACAGATAGGTGGCTACCTGCTCTTCCAGTAAGTGAGGAATCCCTCCTTCTCTTGGCACAAAATAGATGTTCTAACATGGCCTATAACTCACAGCACCACCATTCCCAACCACGTGAGAACTTACCACATCAATTCATCTAAAGTTAAATTAAAAACAAATGAATGTAAAAGGGCCTAAGGATCCCTAAGAAGGAAAATGTGTTGAGATTAATACCTGAGAAGTGAATTCAATTTTAACTTTATCCAACATTCTGAATTTTGACATCTAAGATCATTACAGCCCACGTATATTGGTTCTCCTGCCTTTTAAATCCTCAAATTTCTTAAGTCCTTAAATCACTTGGGCTATATCCCACTTCAGACTGATGACACTAGAAAAAGCCACAGGCAAGCAATTTATATCTATCAAGCAATAACATGCTGATACATATTGTGTACAAGGACATATTCTAGATTGAGAACTGGTCCCTGCTCTCAAGAGGCTTCTATTTCAGAGGCAGAGGCATTTAAACAAAGGGCATTGAATAAAGTATAGTGAATTCCATAGTAGAAGTAAAAACAGTCCATGTAGGGAGACATGGTTGGTCAAGGGCCAAGGATCAAGTGGCCATGACCCTTGTTCTAAAAATGGGTTCTTGCCTCAGTCTGTCAACAAATATATAAGGAGTCTCAACTCTAAAGTACCTTTCTTCATGTAGCTTTCACTTGAGTTCCAGTTTTAGTAAATAAATTCCATCTTCTACTCCCAAACCACAGTATCTTCCAGAAACATAACTTCTATAGGATGAGGCCCTGACTTTCTCTAAGCCAGATCTTCTAAAACTTGAATTCAGTTTTTAGAATTCAAATTAGATTACTGGGTCTGCTTCCCTGGTGCTGGGAGTACACGTATCTTCCTATATTTTCCCTATTGATCTGTGGCTGGAAACCCTGCTTCAGTGTCTTGTTTATAAACTAGGGATAATAACAGTAGCTCCATCCAAGATATATTATAAAAACTTAATAAAACTACCTTTGAACATGTCAAATACTCAATAACTATCATTTTCTTTGTTATATTTATTACTAAGACTTGCTGTCTGCCTTATCCATGGACTCTCAATTCTCTTGATGAGAGACCCTGTCTCAAAATAAAAATAAAAAGGGCTGGGGGTGCAACTAAGTGGTGGAGTGCCCCTGCGATAAATCCCTAATACTACACACACACACACACACACACACACACACACACATACACACACACACACACAATCTCCTAAGTGTCTCTGAGAATTAGAAACAACCAAAAAACCATTATATTGCCAAAATAAGAGGAAGGTACCCTCTCAGTCATCTCCACCCCCAAGGAGTTGTGTATAGGTTCATTTTGGCTTCATAAGCTGTCCCACCCAGATCCAGCTGGGGAACCAAGTACCTCTTAGTACCAGGTAGCCATAAGCCAGGTTGGTCAAAGCCTGTGCACATTTCCAGTGTTCTTCCCCAAAAGCAATTCGAGAAAGGATGACACACCGAATCAGCTCCTTGTTTGCTTGGATAGTCTGTAAAGAGCAAAAAAGTCATTGTGCTTTTGGGAAAGGAGGAAAATCTCTGTCATGTCACTAGAAGATAGGACTAAATTTGCATTCTATCATTTGCTTCTTCTCACATCCAACCCATTAAGTCCAGGCAGCTCCACCTTACTGCTGTGTCCTAAAACCAAGCTCTTCTCATTTCTGCCTTGCATACCTAGTCTCAGCCACACTCATCTTTTACCTGGCTGGCTAATAAGAGCCCCTTCTAACTGCTGCCCCTCTTGTCTTCCACAGTCCATTTTATACATAATAGTCACAGTGACTTCTTTTAACTTCTTATCATGAAAAACTTCAATGGCAATATGGAGAATGAATCACCCAGAATCATCCGTTATTTACCCATGGTCAATCCTATTTCATATCTATATTCCTCACCCATACACCCTTGCCTTTTATTGTGTTTAAGCAAATTAAAGGCCTTTTTACATTTTATCAAAAATATCTCATAAGCCAGTGTGGGCTCTAATCTGTGCATGTCTATAATCTCAATGACTTGAGAGCTGAGATGGGAGGATTGCAAGTTTCAGCAAATTACCAAGATCCTGTCTCAAAATAAAAATAAAACGGGCTGGGGTGCAACTAAGTGGTGGAATTCTCCTGCATTAAATCCCTAATACTACACACACACACACACACACACACACAGACACACACACACACACACAATCTCCTAAGTGTCTCTGAGAATTAGAAACAACCAAAAAGCCATTATATTACAATAATTCTTTAATATCACTTGAAATAGGTAAAAAGACAGGCTACTTTAGAAATCTAATATTTTTAGCAAAATTTTGTAGAGGGACACAATACCTTTATTTTTATTTATTTATTTTATGTGGTGCTGAGGATCGAACCCAGGGCCTTACGTGTGCAAGGCAAGCACTCTACCACTGAGGTACAACCCCAGCCCATTTTTAGCAATTTTTTAGGGGGAGGGGGAGAGAATTTTTTAATATTTATTTTTTAGTTTTTGGTGGACACAACATCTTTATTTTATTTTTATGTGGTGCTGACAATCGAACCAACCCAGTGCCCTGCGCATGCCAGGCGAGCGCACTACCGCTTGAGCCATATCCCCAGCCCTTTAGCAAATTTTTAATGATCACACATGCTGAGGTCAGTCTCTTTTAAATTTTTTTTTAATTTGTTCCTTTTAGCTATATATAACCGTAGAATGTATTTTGACATATCATACATATCTGGAGTATAACTTTGCATTTTTATGGTTGTACATGATGTGGAGTTACATTGGTCATGTATTCATATATGAACACAGGATAGTTATGTCCAATATTATACTGTCTTTTTCATTCACATCCCCTTTCCCTTCCCTACATTCCCTTTTGTCTAATCCAGTGAATTGTTATTCTTCCTTCCCCCATTGCTTATTGTGTGTCAGCATCCACATATCAGAGAGAACGTTCAAACTTTGGTTTTTGGGGGATTGGTTTATTTCACTTAGCATGATATTCTCCAGTTCCATCCATTTACTGGCAAATGCCATATTATTCTTCTTTATGGCTGAGTAACATTCCATTATGTATATGTACATTTTCTTTATCCATTTATCTGTTGAAGGGCACCTAGGTTTGTTCCATAGCCTAACTATTGCGAATTGAGCAGCTATAAACATTGAAATGGCTGCATCATTGTAATATGCTAATTTTAAGTTCTTTGGATTTAGGCCAAGGAATGGGATAACTAGGTCAAATGATGGTTCCATTCCAAATTTTCTGAAGAATCTCCATACTGCTTTCCAGAGAGGTTGCTCCAATTTGCAGCCCCACCACCAATGTATGAGTGTATCTTTTCCCCCACATCCTCCCCAATATTTATTATTACTCATATTCTTGATAATTGCCTTTCTAACTGGAATGAGATTAAATTTTAGTGTAGTTTTAATTTGCATTTCTCTAATTGCTGGTGATGTTGAACATATTTTCATATATTTGTTGACGGATCATATTTCTTCTTCTGTGAAGTGCCTGTTCAGTTCCTTTGTCCATTTATTGACTGGGTTATTTGTTTGTTTGTTTGGTTTTTTTGGTGTTAAGTTTTTTGAGTTCTCTATATATCCTAGAGATTAATGCTCTATTTGAGGTGCAAATGGGAAAGCTTTTCTCCCATTTTATAGACTCTCTGTTCACATTCTTGATTTTTTCCTTTGCTGTAAAGAAGCTTTTTAGTTTGATATCATGCCATTTACTGATTCTTGATTACATCTGTTGTGCTTTAGGAGTCTTGTTGAGGATTCAGTTCCTAAGCTGACATGATAGAGAGTTGAGCCTACTTTTACTTTTAGTAGGCACAGGGTCTCTGGTTTAATGTCTATGTCCTTGATCCACTTTTATTGAATTTTGTGCAGGGTGAGAGATACAAGTTTAATTTCATTTTGCTACATATGGATTACTAGTTTTTCCAGCACCATTTGTTGAAGAGGCTATCTTTTCTCCCATGTATGTTTACAATGCCCTTGTCTAGGATGTATGTTTGTCTCTGTGTCTTCTATTCTGTTCCACTGGTCTTCATGTCTGGTTCTGTGCCAATACCAGGCCATTTTGGTTACTATTGCTCTGCAGTATAATTTAAGGTTTGGTATTGTGAAGCCTCCTGCATCACCTTTCTTGCTAAGAATTGCTTTGGCTATTCTGGGTCTCTTATTTTTCCAAATAAATTTCATGACTGTTTTTTTTATTTATATGAAGGATATCATTGGAATTTCAATAGTAATTATATTAAATATGTATAGTGTTTTTTGGTAGTATGGCCATTTTGACAATATTAATTTGGCCCACCAAGTACATGGGAGATCTTTCCATCTTCTAAGGACTTCTTCAATTTCTTCCTTTAGAGTTCTGTAGTTTTCATTACAGAGGTCTTTTACCTATTAGTTAGATTGATTCCCAATTTTTTAGGCTATTGTGAATGGGATACTTTTCCTAATTTCTCTTTCAGTTAATTCATCACTGATGTATAGGAACACGACTGATTTATGGGTGTTAATTATACACCATGCTACTTTGCTGAATTCACTTATGAGTTTTATACTTTTTCTAGTGGAGTTTTTGGGTCTTTTGGATATAAAATTGTGTCATGGGCAAATAGGGATAGTTTTGAGTTCTTTTCCTATTCATATCCTTTAATTTGTTTCTTCTAATTGTTTTGGCTAGAATTTCCAAGACTAAGTTGAATAGAAGTGGTGAAAGAGGACAAACCTGTCTTGTTCCTGTTTTTAGAGAGAATGCTTTAAATTTTTCCCCATTTAGAATGATGGTGGCCTTGGATTTAGCATATATAGCTTTTACAATATTGAGGTATGTTCCTATATCTCTATTTTTTCTAGTGTTTTGAGCATGAATGTTGAGTTTTGTCATGAGGTCAGTCTGTTGTGTCTCTCTTCTCATCATAGGCTTCATCTCTATCCATACTATTTTTTTTCCTATCGTATTATTTGTTGAAGAAACTGGGCCTCTTTCCTCTAGTATTTGCTACAGGGGTGAATTTTGTTGACTGCATCCCAATGTTGTCATTTAACATTCCCTCCATTATCTGTTCTCCATTTATACTGGTAGTTGGATTTAGAAGTTTGGTCAACTTTAGCTTTGAGTTTTTTACTTCGTATGTATGATATATCCTTCCATCAGAAGATAACTACCATCCAGTTGTCTCTCTCTCTTTTTTTAGCACAACTACATGGRCCAATTCATGAAAGATTATAAAATTCTCATACCATAATTCTGTCATTCTTTCTTCATATCTTAGCTGGAATAATTCTACATGGAGAAATTTCTCCTCATGTATTTTCATAGTTATAGTACAGTTTGTATTAGAAAGGCAGGATACCTGGTTTTTATTTTTATCAGCTTTCAAAACAATTTCATTCACTAGCATCCTCTAAAAGTGACCAAATACTTTATTATTATAAATTTATAAAATTTTAGACATATTTTATGTGCCAGCATAATCTTTTAAAATGAATTAGATCATGTGACTCTCCTGTACAAAACCCTCCATAGCGTCTCACTCTTTTATTTTTAATGGAACCCAAAGTTCCTACTATGGCCTCCAAGACTCTATTTAATATGACCCAACCCTAATCACCTCATTCATTTTCTACCTCTTTCTTCTTCTCCTCTTATTCGCCTATGATAATTTCTCTGACATGAATGTGTCAACCTAATTTCAATGTAGAATTTTTGCATCTACTATAATCCTTTCTTGGAGCACTCTTTTACATAGTTCAGTCTCCTGTTTTTTTCATTTTGTTTAACTAATGAGGTATTTCTTGGCCACCTTTCTAAATTACCTTTCTCTGCATCACTCACTGTTCCATTACTGATTTTTTTCTTCATAGCACTCACTCCTAGTTCATATTATATTAACTATGATCTTTATTTGTCTATTATCTGTCTTCCTTGAACAAATAAGCTTATTCCTCATGTTCAACTCCTTTATGCCCAAGGCACAGAGGAGATTCACATTCAATATTTGCTGAATGAATCACTCTAAGGTTGGGGTGGAGGAAAGAGCCCCTCTGCCACTGTGGAGCTGATGGGCAGAGCTCCAGAAACCACAGAACTATACCTTCAAGTCACGTGTTTCAGTGACTTTACAAACATGATCATCTATTGGCTGCACAATTCAACACACTCAGGCATTTATTTTTTGGTGAAATGAAAATAGCACTATGAGGAATAAAAAGTGCAAAGTTTTAGCCTTGGTTCTAATATTTACTAATTATGTTTTTTTGAGATAGATCATCCTGATCATAGTTTTCTTTTCTGAGATTGGAAACCAATACTATCTACCTTAGAGAGTTATTATAAGAAAAAAGTCAGCATCTATGTGACCTAAATTTGTTAAGCACTATCTAAATGAAAATATTAAGTTCCATTTTGAGGAAAAGGCATAATACCATGAAAAAAATCACAGAAATGGGAGCTCAAAGCTTTGAGTTATACCTGACTCTGGACAGTCTATATTTATCCCCAAACTCCTGTGCTCAAGGAAAAATGATCCCACCAATATGGGCTTAGAGCTCACCCCAGTGTTGCTGCTGCTGGTGGTGGTACTCCCTTGCCCTTCTGGTTGGTCTGTGAGTTCTGAGTTGGGTTACATTTCACTCCTAAGATCTAAATCTTTGTTATTACTCAAACTGGCTAAGGAGTTGTCAAGCCTCCAAAGCTCACACTTGGAAATCATGACAGACAAAATGTTTTTCTAGTTTGGATGTGTGACATACTAATAGTTCCAGCCATGATAGTCTTTTGCAAGGTTTCTAGATAATTTATAGAGGTAAGCTTATAGGTGTCCATCTTGAAGAGGTATCAGTTTCTATGATATGCTTCTGAGGTGCCTCTCAGCCCTTATCTGCAAGAGAACACATTAACTCTGAAACCATTATTTCCTCTTGACCTGGAACAGACAAGAAGTCAATATATGAACTCTGTTGATAAATCAGGCCTAGAAGCAAGCTGATGTCTGTGTTCTAATAATAAAAGTCAATATGTTGCTGTCTCACGATCCTGGGTTTTGAACACTCTTGCTTACACACTGGCTCAAAGATCTTAGATCCCAAGGTGTTGACTCACTCTTAGAAATGCATACCTAAACTCTTTGATCTCTGACGCTACTCCTTCCTGCTTCTGGTCTTTTGGGTGTTTTATGATTCCACTGTAACCACAAGCACCCTACCCATATCCTTTACTGGCCTCAACCTAGATTTCTGCTTGGCTACCCTTGTTCTTAGCCTCCTGCCTTGATATCTTGGCCCTCTAGTAATTTTCCAAGTAGTATCATCCTGAAACCTTCCAGGAGAAATCTTAAAAATTAATTAATCAAACTTAATCCTATGGCAACTGGAAGAGGCAAATTAATTCTTATTTAAAGCTAGGAGCACAAATGCTCCAGGGAGGAATAGATGGTGAACCCTGTGGGGAATTGGAAGGTGGGTTGGCTACTCAACTGTTCCCTGATTTTCTTCCCATTTACAAAGAAATGTAGCATTTCATTTTATTTTGTGTGCTTCATTCTGCCTACAGTGAATGCAGAGATTCTCTAACCATGGGCATATTATTTTAATTCACTTTTTTATAACTTTATTCTATTTATTTATATGTGTTGCTGAGGATTGAACCCAGGGCCTTACACATACACAGTGAGTACTCTACCACTGAGCAACAACCCCAGCCCAATGGGCATATTTTTATGTGGAAACAGAAACTTAATTTTTATCTTACCAGTTTTTCCTTAATCAGCTGAGTTATTTTCTTCTGGGACTGAACTAGTTTTTCTTTGGGAAGAGACATATAGTCTGTGCTTATCTCCTCCTCCTGGACTGCAGGATCTTCTTCACTCTCTTCAGACCCATAAGTGGGGTACAACTCATCTGTCTGCTGTTGTGCTGGGATGGGGGTTTGCTGTGACCTGTGGGTATGAGAGGGACATGGAGTCAGACTTCACAAACAAGAAAAAATTGAAGGCTATAGTACTCCCAACTAGAGGATAGTGACATGTTTTCTATATTAAACTTGAAGGAATAAAGACAGGTCACTCTCAAAGCCCAGCATCCAGCATAACAATGTGCTGATTAAATTACTCACTTTTGGCAAACTAGTCACCTGCATTAGAGTAACAGCTCTGCCATTTATTTACATGATCCTGAACAAGCTAGCACTTAATCTTCTTCTTTGTAACATGAAGTTAACATGAATATCCACCTGATAAAGCTAATTAAATGAGGTAATATTCATATTGATTTATCATGATGATTGGCATTTAGCAAGTGCTCCTTTAACATAAACTAATACTAATATAATTAGCTCCATGATTTATTTCCTTTGTCTACAAAATGAGCAGATTGAATTGGAAAATCTCAAACATCCTGAAATTCTGATCCAAACCACAACAGAAAATAAATATAAAATAAATATAAACGAGGGATAGGGAATTAACATTTTGAGGCTACATTTCATACATCCATGTCCATCTTTTATCTATGTTAAAAGCTTCAAAACAGAGTGGCTAACTAAGTAAAGAGGATGAGTCCTACTAGGGCGAAAAGGAGGAACCCTACACTGGGACAAGTGCATAGTCAGGAGAGAATTGGCCTCCTCAGTTGTGTTAGAACTAAACATGGTGAGAAAGAGCTAACTGAAAATTTCCCTCTCTCTCTTTCTTACACACTTGAAAACACACACACAAATTCACATACAATGTAGATATCTGACTTCAATGTGAAGATATCACTTTAATTGTGAAGAGGTAATTGGATTTGTAAAGATAGCCACAAGAAATAATCCTATACAGTGAAAGAGAAACAGAATTCTAAGATCTTTAGAGTAACAACAAGTTTCTCACAGAAATAACCTTTGTATTCACAGTAGCTTTTTAAAAAATCCAACCACTGCAAAGTTTTAAAACTGAAATTTATCTCTATTTTCCACAGATAAAGTAACATATGCTTATTTTTTTAAAGGAAAATACAGGAAAGTATGAAAGGAAAATAAATGTCAAGTGAATCTTTTACATCAAGTTTGAGAAATGATACACTAACATCCAGAATCCTATTCCAAATGACCTATCCATGCAGGTGTGCCAAGGTGTGTGGGCAGGGAGTAACATTTCTTCAGGCCAGGCCCAGGCAGGATTCCTTTCTTCCCATAGGTAAGTGTGCTTTCAGTGGACATATCAATTCAATGGAAAAGCCAGGGAAAGTTGGCAATGTGATGTAATCAGAGGTGTTTTCCTCCTTAAAAAAGGGCTTGGGATATGGCTCAGTGGTTAAGCACCCTTGAGTTCAATTCCCCGGTACCAAAAAATAAAAAACAACAACAAAAAACTCTCCTCCTTTCTGATTGAGGGATTTCATATCATCCTTCAAGACATAACCCAGATGTGACCTCTGCCAAAAGTCTTTCCCTGGAGTAGTGACAAAGAGGCACTCCAAAAGGCTTGCAAAAATTTCTCTAAGCCCCTATAATATAACAATTATAATACAATTCATACTATAGTTTGGTTTTTTGTTTGTTTCTTTATGTTGTTGTTGAGTCTTCTTTGCCTTCTAGCAAGTAAACTCCACCAGAGGATGGGTTGAGTCTCATTTGTTTCAAAACAGTGCTAAGTGGCTCACAGTAAATTCAAATAATAACTTGTTACATATTGTGATTGGATACAGAAGGTCCCCAAAAGATTATGTGTTGGAACCATGGACCTGTTATGGCAAGGTTCAGAGGTGGGGCTTTCAGGCGATGATTAGGGATCTGATTTCATCAGTGGAATAATCCACTTAGTGGATTCATCCATTGAGAGCTGAAGGGATTACTGGGATCTGGGACATAGATGGAAGAAGTACTCACTAGAGGTGTGCCCTGGAAGGGTTTATCTCAGCTGCCAGGAGCTCAACAGCTTTGCTCTACTGTATCCTTCCACCATGATATTTCTGTGATTGTGCCAGTCGGCCATGTGCTGAGAGCTCTAAACTGTGAACCAAAATAAATCTTTCCTCCCCTAAGTTGTTCTTGACAGTTATTTTGGTCATAGCAATGAAATGCTGATTAATATATAGAATGAGTAAACAAATGAAAAAGAACTTTATAATGTCTTTATAATGTTTAAAAAATGCTGAGAAGAGAGGAAATCTGTATCAAGATTAAAACTTAAGAAAATTAACCAAAAACATTACTCCCTCTATAGAAAATTTTGCTTGAGCTGCATTTTTTCATAGGACTGGAGCAGAAGATAAATCTATTAGAGTAACCAAATCTATAGGGGCAGTTTGCCAGGAGGAGTATAACCAGAAGAATTGGAAGTTGTACTCCATGTATATATAATACGTCAAAACACGGTCTACTGTCAAGTATAACTAAAAAGAACAAATAAAAAAAAGAAAGAAAAAAAAACAAGCAGGTTTGATGAAGGATTTGCCTTGCTAGGCTTATAAATTATTCCATATATGTTGCTATGGCAAATATGAATTCTGATAAGTAATATTGTATTCATTATGAATTATCTGATTATTTCTAAGATATTCTATTGTAAATACTACATTTTAAAAATTGCAATTGTTGTAGTTCTATAACATTTAAGTTCAAGGTATTTTATGAGATAGTATATAATATGCTATCCAGAAAGGTAACCAGTAGTTAATGTGGCTATTTGGAACATGAAATGTAACTAGTCAGAACTGAGATGTGCTATTAAGTGTAAAGTACACACTAAATTTGAATTATCATGAATAAATGTAAAAATATTCCACTAATAATTTTATATAATATTTTTAGTGAGACATGTAAAATATATTATTTTTAAGTTTAAATTTACCTGTTTCATTTTACTTTTTACTATGGCTACCAGAAAAATTTAAATTGTGCATTGGGCTCTTATTTATAATTCCCATTATATTTCTATTCAATAGCACTGATACAGAACAATGGTTTGTATGTAAAGATGACTTTATACCCAGAGAACATTTGGCCATAACTGAAGACATTTTCAGTTGTCCCAACTAGGACAATGATGCTACTGACATCTTGTTATGGTTTGCATATAAGCCCCCCCCCAAAGCTCCTATGTTAATGTAGGAATATTCAGAAGTAAAATAATTAAGATTATTAAAGCTGTAAATAATCCATCCTAGTTTGAATGGGCTAACTGGTTGGTAACCGTAGGCAAGTGGGATATAGCTGGTGGAGAGGTAATAGCTGGAACATACCCTGAAAAGGTTCATCTTCTGTGTGGCCCCTCCCCCTTTCTCCCTCTGCTTCTCTCATTACTGTGTCCTGGGCTTCTTTCCTCTACCATGCTTTTCCACCATGATGTTCTGCCTTATTTTGGGCCTAGAGCAATGGAGTTGGTCAATTATGGACTGAACCTCTGAAACAGTGAGCCCAAATAAACTTTCCCTCTACAAAACTATAGGTATGTGTGTATTAATCTGTGTGTGTGTGTGTGTGTGTGTGTGTATACATGTTAGACAGACATACATTTATTTATTTAGGTATTTTGTACTGAGGACTGAACCCAGTGCCTCACATGCACTAGGCAAACACTCACTAAATTGTTCTTGTCAGATATTTTGGTTACAGCAATGAAAAGCTGACTAACACACATCAATTCGGGTACATAATAGAGATGCTGCTAAATATCCCTCAAGGCATAGGATATCCCTCCAAATCAAAGTTATCTGACTCAAAATGGCACCAAGGTTGGAATAATCTGGAATAAAGAAATGGATAAAGAACGAGTTTGGAATCAGACTGCATAGTTTGAAAACCATTAACCATCAACTAGCTGTGTGACCTGGGCAAACTGCCCAACCTCTCTTTATTCTTCATCTATCAAAGGTAGTATTCAAAGGTGGTATCTCATTCACAGAGTTGCTAGGAAATAGGCATACAACATATGCTCAAAAATGAATTATGGTTTAAAATTTTTAATTTGTTATCTCTTTATTTCATGAAGCAATTTTCTCACAATTTTATTATATTTTTCTCCATGACTTTACCGGTCTTATTACAAATAACCTATCTTTGTTTTTACTGGGTGCAGTGGCACACACCTATGATCCCAGCGGCTTGGGAGGCTGAAGCAGGAGGATCGCGAGTTCAAAGCCAGTCTCAGCAATGGCAAGGTGCTTAGCAACTCAGTGAGACCCTGTCTCTAAATAAAATACAAAATAGGGCTGGGGATATGGCTCAGTGGTCGAGCATCCCTGAGTTCAATCCCTGAAACCAAAAATAAATAAATAAATAACCTATTTTTGTTTTTAAAAACTTAAAATTTTTGTAAATTAGGGAAATAAATAATTATCTTCTATATTGTAAAGCTGAAGATCCAAATGGATACTACACCATAATTACTATTAAAACACATCACAGCAGAACTTTCTCTTCTGTCTAATGTGCATGCATAGTTTCACCCAGGCTTGCCTTAAGGGGGATAGGGGTCCCTGTGTTTCTGGCCAGTGAGGGAGCATGATGTCAGGGTTCTGTGGTACTTACCGATGGAAGCAGGAGTCCCAGTCAATGTCATTGTTAACAGTTGGGATATAGATGGGGCTGGCTTGCATCTTCTTCCTACCAAGAGTCACACATGAGATCAGCTTTGGGAGAAAAGGCTTAGGAATTTGTACTATTCCCCTCCCCCCCATTGGCTACTACTAACATTAAGTTTAAAGTGCCAAATATAAATCCACAAATAGACTATACAAATTCATGTATGGAGATTACTCAGAAAGCAGAACATAAAGACATTTGCAAAAAAAAAAAAAATCTGACTTAAATTTCTTTTTCCTAATTTCTACTCTAGAGTACTCTCTAAAATGATTTTTTTTTTTAATCGTTGTTGTTCCTGTTGTTATTGTTGTTTTTACCCTTAAAAACCACACCTTTACATCTCCCGGGTCATCCAAACTATGGTCACCTACTTAACTATTCTTTGGCAGGCTTGATGGAAAGAGTAAGTAAACAAAGCAACTAGTTCTCAGCCAATCCATTGGTTGTACTAAATGAAGTACAACCAATGGATTGGTTAATTCTCCTCCTTTGGGGGGGGGGGGATTTCACTATTTAATAGGAGATTCTAGTTAAGGAACTAAAACCCATATGTCTACTTTGGTGGCTGCTGTTAGGTGATGAGGAAAATGTGTTGAAACCCATGGTGGAAAATGTGATTTACAAATATTCACTTCTCAAGGCTGTCATGTAAGTGGAATCCAAATCCAATGCACAATTCTGGAACATTAATATCTACCAAGTCCCTCCTCATTTCATCCTAGAATGTCACTCGTTCCCATGGGATCCACAAGTAGCTGTCTCTGACCCAGGTTCCAGTATACCCAATATCCAAATTTCAGATGGATTATTCACTAATTTCTCCCTCTAATCCCTATTTTCAAAACTCCTACATTGTGTTCCATTAAGGTTTCAGAATGCACAGATCTAGGGCGCCACATTTAGGACCCGCTCTTAAAGACAGGGCGCTTTCTCCTTTTCCGCATTGTTCCTCGGTAACTTGGTGAGCCCAGTGGCCACGTACAGAGCCGGGTCTGGAGCTCCCTTCCTAGCACCGCGGAGGCTCCAGCGGGCAGCACTGGTCCGAGGCGGCGTTCTGCGGCGTACCTGGCCGCGGGCTGAGAAGCCACACCCCGGATCTAGCCCTCCAGGCTCCCTCGCCCGCGCTGTTCGGCTACAGAAGGAGGCGTCAGCGTCGAGGCTTCCGGCCGACCGGGTCCTGGGAGCCACAACTGTGCCCGGCGTTAACTAGAGGGTCAACAAGGTCGCCTTCGGCCTGGGCCGCCTGGGTTCCTGCCCTTGAAAGACAATGGGGGTTGCCATGGGAACGGAACTTCTCCCCCCCCCCCCCCCCGCCGCCGCCGTGAGCGCGGCGCCGTAGCCACGGCAACGCGGGGCACTTCCGGTTCCGTGGAATCCAGAGCCGGAGATCCCGCTGGCATCGGGCACCCCAAGTTGCGCGCCTTCTGTCAACGCGACTTCAAGCTAGTCCTTGAACTTGCCGCCTTGGCTGCTCCAATGGTGGTTTCCTCCCAGAGATGACGAAGAATGAGGGTAAATCCCGTCCGAGCGGGGAAAGGAACTCTGGTCTCCTAGACGCTACTTGTTTAAAGCTTTGGTGTCTGTGCGGGTCGTTCAGCGACACACCTCGGCCAGCCGGCTCTGCGCTCTGCTCAGCGCACCCTGCACCCCAGCAGTCCCCCGGGTGTTCTGGGTCCCCACACCCCTGAGGACAGACTCAATCAGATATAACTGTTGATGGCGCTGGCAGCCGGGCTCCTTTAGGAAAACCCAGTGCCAGAAGTAAGTAACCTAAGAAATGAGCGGCTGGATCTACTAATTGTTAGCAGTTGGCATATTTTCAGGAGAGGAGGTGTCGCGATGGGCAAAAAGTGCGACTTATGCAGTGGAGGGGGAGAAATAAAGAATGTCTTTGTGCTTCTGCCCCTTTCAATGCTTTATTCACTCAAATCATTCAATACAATGTCATCTACAGTTTCTTAATCAAGAAAATAACAATTCTTAATCCTAGGCATTGCATCAGACATAATCAATTCACAGCAAACAATTCTAGATTAATTCTAAGCACTGCAAACACACTTAATCATGACAGGCTCATATAGACATTCCCTCTGCATGCTAAGCTGAAGTGTCAGATCAAAAGTCTCAGGCCTTAGGCTCTAAGTCCAGCAAATGCACACTCACTCAGACAGTGGGGATCATACAGGAACCAAGGCAGGCTTCTCCTGGGGTTGAGCTGATGGCTGGCTGAGGAGGCTGTCCTGGGAGAAGTCCTTTTCTCACTAGAGTCAAGAGGCTGCTGTAGAGTTTGAGAGCAGTGAGAACAGCACAGAGAATCAGGTAGATGGGAATTCTCGAGTTGGGATGTCAGTCCAAGTCCCCATCAGGCTCTCAGGCTTGTGTGCATCAGTGTCAGCTGGTTGAATGTCTGTTCATTTGCTCCATCATTTATACTAAATTTGGGGGTTTCTGATCACCCTTTCAATCCCTATCAGCTGCCACTGGATTTCTCAGTGATGTCATTTGTCCTGAGGTTAAAGCATCTGGTCTGGTGGTCCATACCCTGATTTTCTTGCTTTCCAGGGCAACATGTCAGAGACTTCACTCTGAGTTTGTCAGGATAGGGAGAAGTGACTTGTTTGTGCAGGAGGGCCATACTGGGGGGCTCCATAGATGTACCAGGTGAGACTGCAGGTTTCAAACTGGAGTTTTAAAATGGAGTTGTTTAGGCTAAGACCTAAGGCCATCCTGACAGGAGAGCACATTTGGCAAACACCACATCACACCTGGTCAGTGGTCTGAAACACACAGTAGTAATGCACACAGGTGTGGAGGGAATTGTGGTCAACACCCAAGTGACCAGCAACAGTTCTGGCACAGTTGGGATTAAGGGTGTTATCAATGGACTGGGTCCATGATGCTGGAATGGATATCCCCTCTATTTTTTTTTTTTCTTTTTCAAAAAAGAGAAGGCAGGCTAGGTAGAGAGAGATATTTACTGAGATCTTGAAAGATGGAATTTACATTTGGTGTTTATTTTTTTATAGATTTAGGATGGAAGTTAAATTGCCATTGATCCAAGATTGCCAAGATAGCCTGTAGGTGGGTAGTGTTGTTTAAATGAGTGCTTAAAACCTCTTAAGTAAAACCTGGATCATCTGTTAATTCAAGGATATCCTTGAGCTCCTGAACCAAAATTTGGGAAAAGAACCCACTCTTTTGACTCTCGGGCATGGAACAATTAATCAATGAACTTGATTTAAAGATGCCAATGTTCTTGCATTAACTCTGTGTAGCCAAGAGCAAGTCAATCCATGGATACCAATTTTCTTTCCTTATACAGTGAAAGTGTACCGCTTGCTGTCTATCTCGCTTTTCAGCTTCAGGATTCTGTAAGGATTTTTGTGACTCCAGGAACAGTATTTAATATGTGTAGAGATTCAAAAGGAAGAAACTATTTCCTGTTCTATCATACTTGTTTCTCTAACCCCTTGTTAAGTTGGGCATCATCAAAGTGAAGTTTTATTATTCTTTCTGGGAAGTGACCATCAGAATGTTTCTAAGTGTATTAAAGGTAAGTTCTCTTTTCTAAACACTTGCTTTCACTGATTATTGTAAAGTTTATTATGGTATCAGAACAGTCACTGAATTCCCATTCCTAAAACCTATGCTCCTCCATTTAACTAACTCTGACCAGAAGCATGTTGCTTTCATCTGTAAAATTATAAACTCAGAGAAACTTAAAAGACTCAGAGAGTTCCAAACCTCTGTAATACATTTTCTTCCCTTGCCATCTTAATCCTATCCCCCAATGTAAAATTTAGATGTAGTATATGCACTCTGGGATTGCTCACTCACTCCAGAATAGAATTCCAGTAAGCTGGGTGGACATTGTTTGTTTTGTTTTTCACCCTAGGTTCACTCACATTCCCTTCCTTGATCCCAAGGTAGAAGAGGTAATCATTGCTGTTGCAGAAATCTCAGAAGAAGCATGTGTAGAGGGTATAATCTAGAATTGTTCAGCTCCAAATCTAAATGTGATTATCTCTAAACTGTTTTGACCCCAGGAGCTATGAAATTTAAGAACAAGGAAATCCAAATAAAAGTTGTCTTGGAACACATTTTTTGATCTCTCAAGGCAGGGTTACTTCTGAGCTTCCTCACTATCCTGCCTACAGCCTCACTATGACACTCAATACACAGTGTTGGCACTTCTGTTTACTTGCACATTTTTCACCCTCCATGCATCCTTTCATCCACCCAGACAAAAAGACCTATCTACTACTTCTATCTGCCGGATACTGTTCTAAGCATTATGGAAGCAAAGATGAACAAACAAGCAAAGATTTTGCTCCTCTGGAATTTATATTCTACTAGATTACTAGTGAACAATATGGTGTCTTTGCAAGTTAGAAAAAGGCACATGCCTTAGGTAGTACACAGCAACACTGTATGAATTAAAAAAAGCTTCCTCCTCCAGCCAGACTTAGGCCCCTGCTAAGGAGTACAGTTCTTAGAACAGGGGAGACTGGATTTCAGGACGTATTTTCTCCAACACTCAGTGAACCACCTTATATGCAAGTGAAAATTATATTGAGAACAATAAAACCAGGCAAGGGATCTAGAAAGTGTTGTGGTCATGTGGGCATGGGAATGCTTTTATATACTGTAGTTCAGAGTTTCTCACTGACAAGATAGCACTGAACTATCTTGGACAAGAAGAGCAAAATCGTACAAACATATAGAACATTTTAGGATGTTGATAGCAAGTGCAAAGGCCCTGAGATAGGAGCATGTTTAATGGAGGCAACGAATAGTAAAAGGGCAATAAAAATGAGGATACAAGAGGGGGGTAGTGGAAGAGTGGCTCAGTGGAAGAGTGCTTGCCTAGCATGTGTGAGACACTGGGTTCAATTCTCAGCACCACATACAAATAAATAAAATAAAGGTCCATCAAAAACTAAAAAAATATTTTTTTAAAAAATGAGGATACAAGAGAATTGACAGTATACAGGGCATCAAATCATACCAGGCC